GATAGGAGAAAGAACATAGCCAGGTTACCAAATCAATATAATAATATTCCATTTTCCTGTATAGGGGCGACTTCGTGATATCAGAATTTACAAATTTGTACCATAAACTTTACCATTTGCATTACGTAATGTAATAAATTATTATTAGTTTACAGGTTTTGACTCGCTGAAATGTGGGGTGAAATAGAAACAGGGTTTATTATTACAAATTTTAAATCCCAAGATTATGATCCATTACATTAAAAACCTCCTCCCTTTCCTCTGCCTTGCATATCATTGGAACAATATTATTTTTGACGGTTTTTGTATGATAAACAGGTATTGTTACTTTTTAGTGTTTTATTGTGAAATTAGTAATAGAACTATAAGTAGTGATATTGAACTGTGTATATTTTGCATTACATTTTTAATACAGGTCCAACCCATTTCTATTGTTTTCTTGAACTTCAGGCTTATATGCATTTTGTTCCCTCCATCTCTCTCTCCTTTCTCCTCTCTCTCTCTCTCTCTCTCTCCTCTCTCTCTCCTCTCTCTCTCTCTCTCTCCTCTCTCTCTCTCTCCTTTCTCCTCTCTCTCTCTCCTCTCTCTCTCTCTCCTCTCTCTCTCTCCTTTCTCCTCTCTCTCTCTCCTTTCTCCTCTCTCTCCTCTCTCTCTCTCTCCTCTCTCTCTCCTTTCTCCTCTCTCTCTCTCCTTTCTCCTCTCTCTCTCTCTCCTTTCTCCTCTCTCTCTCTCTCCTTTCTACTCTCTCTCTCTCTCTCATCCACATGTAAGAGTACCATGTGCATTTATATCCGCTAAAGAAATTTGTGGACTAAAATAAGGATAAATGTGCATGTGTATTGTGGTTTGCAGAATTTGTGAAACGGAGAAAAAGGAACTCCTGTCAAAATTAGAGCAAGTGCAGGAAGAAACGACAAGGCTTGTGGTTTGTTGTGACAAACTTGAAAAAGAAAATACAGGCCTAAAGCTACTGAACATGGAGCTTGAAGAAGCAGTAAAAGTGAAGGTAAGATAATAAATTTATTTGGGATAACAAGGTGTTGTATCAGATTATTATCTTTTGAATTGTGTGATATCTGATGAACAATCAGTTGATTGTGTATTTTTTATTACTACTCCAAATACTGGTTTGTTATTATCTTTCTGATTTATAGCTTCCAGTATTAAACTTAAAGAGAATACTTGTAAAATGTTATGTTTATAATCAGGGTTTGTATAAATTTTAATAATCTAACACATTAAATTAAATTATAACACATAATAAAAAAAAGCTATTAGTGTTTTAGTTTAGTGTTTTAAACATTCCTCTTTCCATCACTTAATAATATGCGTATAAACAGCTTCTAGTTGCCGTCAGTGTAAGGAATATTTCTATTTAGTCCCTTTTCCATGCTGCGATATCTAACTTTTTGGACTGGACTGAAAGTCATTGTTCTTAGTTTAATAAGATGCCACCCAAGACAATTCCAGTCTGTTACCAGATTTTCTGTGTCCTGCATATGTTGATGCCCTCTATTTTTTTAACAGTTCAAAATTCAGATTCGCTCTTGCTGGGCATCGAACGGAGACTGCGCGGCCTCACTCGCTTTCTGGGGGTAACAAAATCTCGGCATTCATTTTCACGTTACGTTTCGTTTGATGCAATGCCCTTAGATTAAGATTCTCTTTACTGCCCATTCAAAAATATCAGTCTGAATTGCCCTTGAAATTCGCATTGAATGCAAAGTAAACAACTGTGAACGTATTGTTGTTAGGCGTGATATTTCTTCGCAGTTTCTTGTCCTGGCAATATGACATGGTATGACAATATAAAAACTTAAATCCCAATTGATGACTTAAACTGCTAAGAAGACATTTTTCAACTGAGACATTTAGGGGAAAAACATTGTATTCAGATAAATACGGTGTCTTTAGTGAACATTGGGCGTGCATTTTTGTGGGGTGAAGTTGTTACACAACACTGAAGAGTTTCTGTGTTTTGGGGTGGGTTTGGAATTTTTGTTTCTAGACGTTTTTTCTGATTGTTGGTTAGACATTCTCCATGTGCAGACAGATTTACACATTTAGGTGTGCTTCAATGTTGAAAAAGTATTCCTAATAAAATACCATGGGAAGTAAGAGAGTAAGATGGATTGTGATTCAGTTAGGTTAATGTCAAAGAAATTGACACTTATTGAATGTTTAATTAATTGAAAATTCTGCAATTGCTTCTGCACAATGTTCTGTTATCTGGAAATGCTAGAACCTTGATTTGTATCATGTATTTTGATGCTTTTATTAATGGCATGTTTGAGCTACAATTTTTTTAGCATTTATGTTAGAAAACTGGAAAGTAAAGTACCCACAGCATGTATATACTTCACTTTCTAATACTTGCATAGAAAAATGAAATCTGATTAGCCTAGTTATTGCCAATTTTCTCTCCCACTGCCCTTCTCCCCCTCCCCCTCCGCCTCTCCCCCACTCGTTTTAGGCCATACAATGCTGCAATGTATTATTTGAAGTAATTTGCCTGTGTTCAGTCGTAGGAAGTCAATAAACAAACAGTTCTCCACCCCTTTTATTCTTGTTGTAATAGTCAAAAATTGCGCGAGGTGACCACTTAAAGGGGCCTCGAAGGCTACCTGACTTCTTTTCATCACTCCCATTCTCTTGTGTTTTGCTTGTGGCTAATAATATTTCTTGACACCTTAAAACTGTCATTTTTGTTACTAATAGCACAATGAGAGTAAACGGAAACTAATAGGATTTCAGAAATCTAGGTTTTTGTGTAAGAAGTCGTACTTTCCACTTATGGGACCTCAAATGCCCCCTATTGTTCTGTGGTTAAGTTGAAAGTATTTCTATGAGGAAAAATGTGCTGATTTTGACAATGGACTATGACGATGAAATCCTTCTATACTTCCACTTTACAACACCATCTCTTTTGAGATAGCAAATATTCAGTAAAAAATTTGGTTTCGTGTCTACCACAAGAATATTCCAATTATAAATTGGGCAGGAAATGGCGACTATCAAAAATGAATCTTTCTTCTGTGAATATGTGAGAAAAATTGAATTAAGAAGAGCTATTTCATGCTGGAGGGAATTATTTTTTAGTGAAAGAAGTGATCTGTTTTTCACGGCAGCAATGAATGTTCATAGTTTGAGTCATTCGAAGGTGCATCCACTTTGATGATGAACAAACATTGGTGTTCTTTCAGAACGTACATGCCTATTAAATATGGCCAAAGATATTCTAATGGTGTGGAGAATGGGTTGCATTGAATGGCAGCGTATACTCTGGTAGGCAAGAGGACAAAAAAAATTTAGCAGTAATTATGGTGAAAGAACTGACCCAATACTTCAGAAACCAAGGAAATTACTGTGAATATATTTTTTCACGTCTAAACGCAGAGTACTTTTTAACAAAAAACAACTTACAATGCTCAGAACTTAAATAAAAACACACAACGAATTCCAAATGAAATGAAAACCAGTAACCATTTTTTTGTAGTGGTTCTTCTTATGATAATTTGACTTAGTCTTTCAAAACAAATGGTTCCTAGGTCCGTACATCAAAATCAGCAATTTATTGATCTTCAAAACATGAAACCAAATATGTAATAAATCAAAGATAGGAGTTGATATGATGCATCTGATGTTTGATGATGATACGTCAAGATGTCTATCAGGCTGATAGCCAATGCATCTCTTGAACATTATAATAGAAATTGCAGAACTCAATAAACTCATTGTTTACACAAGATGCACAAAACTACAATGAAAATGTCAGTTGGTGGCTAAGGTTTCTAAAAGATGTAGCCGAAAAACAAAATCAAGGGTTAACTATCCCAAAACACACAAAAAAACTTTAAACTGCATAAATGTTTTCTGAATTCACAAACTGTAGCTCTAGAACTTCCACAAAAAAGGGAAAGGTTAGTTGTTGTTGTTGTTGTTGTTGTTTTAGTTTTTTTTTTTTTTAGTAAATATAATGAAATATTTTGCTTTATTATTGTTTATGTATAATTTCCAGTTGTTTATGACCACATGAAACTAACAGAAAGAGTAAATGTTTGTACAAAATATGTAAAAATATTTGAGGTGTACACTCAAAATATTTTAGTCGCAATACAGTAGAACCCCGGTAATCGGAACTAAACTGGGGTATGGTCTGTTCAGATTCGGAAATGTTTGGAATATCCAAATTCACTAAAGCTTTAAGATTACCAAATACAATGCAATGTAGGTTATTATGTGAGAAAATGGCAATGAAGCATAGTGATTGCATCAAGCAGATTGTTCTATACGACAAAAGATTATTGCTGATTTTGGAAGTTCTCTAAAAAAAATTACTGCTTCGTAAACATGTGATATATGTTCACTGCAGTTACCAGTGCGAAAAGCAATTCATTTCGACAAATGGTTTCAATAATTAGTTGTTCAGTTCTAAAGAAATTATAAAATTCCTTCTGTACACTGTACACTGCAAATAATTTTGTTTAATTTTTTCTCCATCCCAAATTTTGATCAGATTATCCAAAATTTCTGATTAGCATGGGTCTACTGTAATTGCAAAACAAAATACACCATAATGAAATACTTGCTGTTGTAAAGTAGACAAAGAAATAAAATTCCATTATATTACTTCACTTTTCCCAATGTGCCTTGTAAATTTTAGGAGGGTGCCTCTGATGGTTATTAAATGCCAATCTTTGCAATGTTCCTGGCCATTGCCTACTTTGCCAGGTGGTAACGGAAAAGAGGGAATATTTACACATCTTATGGAATAATCAATTGGTTCTGAAAAAATATGTGCATTTGTGGAAGTAAGCACTTAATAGAGGTTGCTCTGTATCCAGGTTTCACTGTATTTGAAAAACATTTTAAAGTTTCATTGTGGATGTTGACATTGCATGCTGGAAAGTTGACTGTCATGTTGCCTTGTGGAATGCAATGGCTGTTCACTTTGCACTACTTTTTCATTATTGGTGCCTAGGAAGAACAAATGGAGGATTTCAAAACTAGAAGAAATGCCCAGTTTGAAACGTATGAAAACTTGCTTAAAAATGAAAGAGAACTGCGAGAACGAGAACAGAGGGAAGTACATCAGTTGCACAATGTCATGCTAGCACTGACTCCCAAAAAGAATGAGCAATTGGTGAGTCCTAGATATTGTGCATGATTTTTACAATTTGATCAATATTGTCGAGTCTAAATAAAATATCACAATGTTTTAACTTCTTGATAACGCTTTGCTAGCAGTTATCATATTTTTATTTTTTTGTTTGTTTTGTTCTTTCATTCAATGCACTTTCCTCACACTCACTTAGAGCACAATTGTTTTTCAGGCAAATATTGACAAACTGAAAGAACAATTGAAAGAAGCATACATGAAAGTGAGTGTTTACTTAACATGCATGAATCTTTAAGCATGAAATTAAAGTTTTGATCTTTTAATAATGTGATATTCATTTAGCTTTATTCATGTCCATTCTCTCCATTATTGCATTCCCCAAACTTCTGTGTACCACTTCAAGTGAAGAAAATATGTTTTCATTTATCAAGGTTATTTTTATATTTTATTTTCATTTTAAATATATTTCTTAGCATTTATCCGCTTCAAAAAATATGAAAACTCAACAGTATTGAAAACTAAATGTACTACTTACTGATAGTTATTTTAAAGATCGAACAATCTTTGATATTACTTCAAATTTTTACAAAAAGTATATTAAAGAGGTAATGGTTTTTAACCCTGCAATAGTTTTGCCATATTATGAAACAAATTGTTTTGGTGGACCGAGACTCTAAGTAGCAAAATGTGGGAGTAGGCTAAGTAGTAGATTAGGCAAATAAACCTACAGATTTAAGAACCTACAATAAAAATAATGATACATTTTGCACTAATAACCACAACCTCACTAACATTAAAAACAAACAAATTCCAGTTAGTTTAACATGGCAGTATAGGAATTTATTTCAAATATGGTTTGGTAGCTTATTTCTAATGTGTTAGATGTAGAAAGATGCACTCATTTCAATTGCTTCTATCAGTCATGGTCAGCAGAACATTTTCTTCCTCTTCTTTGAAGAGAACTCTAGTTAGTTTCATTGATAGTGGGTTAAGTTTATAATAGCTTTGTTGTATAATACACATCTAACTTTGATGATGGGTTACACAAATTTGAGAATGTGGCTGGGGAAAATGGTAGAACTTTTGCATGTCAGAGTTGGTAAACAATTTTGTCTGATTTTGCCACAACATTGGAGCATGAATAAAGGATATGACAGAAAGTGGTCTATACTAAACAAGGATGGCCTTCAAGGATCTTAAAGTGTCATCAAGCTTCTGCTTCTACAATCTTTGAATTTGAATTGATAACATTTCATCAAGAAGTATTTTTATGTAGTTTAATGTGACTACAAATTTACGCTATATTGAATACTTTTTCCTCAGTTCCTTTATAATTGCCTATTATTCTAGCTCATGCTGGCTAATGAAGGGGTACAAAAACATTCACATGTCAAGCTCTCAGAATCGAAAATATAGCAAGCATTTACAATATAGCTGAAAGCAAATAACCAATGTTTTATGGAGATATTCTATTTACATTCCAATTATTTTATTTCAGATAGCAAAACTTGAAAAGGAAAAGAAATCTGATTTTATGTATGAGCTGCAGTGCACCAAAGTAATAGAAGGGGTGAGTTCTAACAAGGTAAGAACATTAAACAGAAAATTATATTGAAAAAATACCCTTCTTCAAAAATCTAATAATTGTTCCAAAATATTTTACAGGCCTGTAAATCCAGAAGGCAGAAGAAAGAACAGAAAGAAAATGCATTGGATGATGATATGTGAGTAAATTTGATGTGTTTGTGCGGTTTACATGTTAATATTTGTGGAATATTCCAGAATTAATTTGATTCATTATTCTTTTCAGACAACCTGTCAGCTTTCCAGAGAGAGGTATTATTACTGTCTTTACTACGTTCGTAAGAAAGTTGTCAATTATACAAAAATATATATTGAAAAATTCTATTTTAAGTACAAATGTCTTCGATGTTGGTTTCTTCCAATGTGGAATATTTTTCAGAACATAATACTACAGTGAAAAATTTGTTTTATGAAATTGTTTTCAGGCCCTTCTAAATTTTCCCATAGTTTCATATTTTTGCCCTCTTGTTTATCTTCCTCTTTTTTCTCTCCTCCCCTTCTTTTTTTCCTTTCAAAATTTAATAGATTCGTCTGCTTAAAATCAATACCTTCCTTTTTACATTATTTTATTACTCTGATGATTCTACCATAGCCATTTTCCACACATTTAAGAAAGATTTAGTGGTATGCACTAAGGTAAGGCACTTATTTTCAAAATAAAAAAAATCTCAAACGATTGCCAGGGTAATAGGGATGCATTTCATGCGTTTCTCACATGCACAACACACTTTCACTGCCAACCTCTCTCATCACAACCCCATCTTCTATGTTATAGTCCTTGTAGGGCTCAGTTTCCAAGATTTGCCTGATCACATGCAGCTTATCATTCTTTTCTTGTTCCCTTCTGATGATTGCCAGAAGTGTCCTTGACAATCAAGACAGGGAAGCGACTCAAAGCATCCACATGTTTGAGATGCCCCCCTTTCTGGAGTTAAATTTCATAGCTGAACTATTCCGGTGTCATGGCCCAAAAACAAGAAAGAAATAAATAAAAATGTTTAGATTACAATACAAATCGCCTCATGTTATATTATCATTTGCAATTCTTGCGAGTCTGGGAATCGCAGAGTCCTGCATAAATTGAGATGAACAAAAAATTTCTTGAAGTGACATTTACATTTCTGATGTAAATATTCAGCAAATAGATGCAATGCACACAATTCAGCAACTCAATCCAGTAAGAAGTTTGTACATAATGAGTACATCCTTTGTCAATCTCGCAGATTCCAATGATGGAGTACTCAATAATTCTAAAAAGTTATGACTATATCTGGAATTTTACATGATTAAATTTATATGCTGTATATGAGAAAAAGATGTGCCGAACTCTTTCAATCCTTTTAATTTGATAGTACTAGGAGGCCGTACTGAAGAACAATACACAAATTTAACTAGAGAACTGCAATATTCAGAGAGCTTTTAATGATGTAAATTTGGATGTTTGTTTTTACAAAACCCTATAACTTTAAAGAACTTTTTATCACATCAATTTGTTTGAAACATTTTACTATCAACAATAATATCCAAATCCTTAATTTCAGAAACACCCTGTAAGTTTGATCCATCAATAATATAGCTTATGAAAATAATGTTATGCCCCTGATTACGACAAAGCAAATTGCATTCAAATTAATACAATTTTCCTGACACCACTACACAAGATTATTCAAGACATGGTGCAAATGTATGGCATAATTTTTGTCAGATATTACCCTCCAAAACTTACAATCAGCAAATCAACTATAAAATGTTGTACACGATACCAGGGAAATTGATAATTGCTGTAGTGACATTGACAATGCTTGTGTTTTCAATTTTATGAATGAAAATTAATTTATATTTCAGCAATTAAGCCTGATCCTGATATTAGACAACTTAGGCCCAGAAAGAAAATCCTGTATTCCAATGAAGACGAGCAAAAGGTAAAAATGTTCATCATGTAGTGTTGTAGCAGATAAAGGGCACTGAGCGTCATTCAAATTCCACATTTGGATACCTCTTGAGTACGTGATACTTGTGCAGTTAGATTGTTATATTAATTATATGTCAAGTTGTTTTTGTGTACATTACAATGAGTATGGACTCTTTTTAGAAAGTCAAAAATCTTTAGAAGTAAATGTTTAAAATGATTATAAAAGTAGATATTATCCCAAAATGTTGGTTCAGCATTCATTCATATTTTTTGTATCACGTTATATTTCTTACGCAAGAGTTGTCTTTTTCTCTCTAATTAAGTGAGTTCTTAGTGGAGAATAAATGTTTCTACTTCATGATTGTTGTAAACGCTTTGGAAAATATACACATTTCCATCATTAGGGGTCCCAACCAACAGAAGAAAAACATCGAAGAACCAGAGCTACTTATTCTTGAAACTGAGGCACCCCAAAGTTGTGAAGAACAGCCCTACAAACACACCACACCAACACAAACTATGATTATGAACGGTGGTGTGCATAAATCATGGTATGTTTGTACACATGTTCCTCACATCACAAAGGATGTCTCACTTTCAAGAGTAATGTATAGGAGAATTAGCCTAAGAAGAGACCAGTTTGCAAAAGAAGTGAACAACATGTTTCCTTCAGAGATGTATCCCTCCACCATGGCAGCTTTTCAGCCATGCCCTTTTTATAAAGTGTTTGTTTGTTTACTTACATAAAGAGACATCACTGCCAGCCTGGATAGCCAAGGTTGCTTAGGCTGAAGAGCCTTAGCTGCCTCGTCGTGAAGGGTTGTGAGTTTAAAATCTGCCCTGGGCATGGATGTTTGTGTGTGCCAATAATGCTATTGCACATTACAAGTCCCTATCAAAAATTCAATGATTAGTTCTTGCATATTTTAATAATATAGTATTTCAAAATAATTCATACTTCTTGGTTATAAATTATGTACTATCCATGGCTTCTTAGCGAGCATTGCTTTGTTCATAATTATAACAGTCTGATTACCCATTCTTATGAGCTCTTGACTTCATTGCGACTTAATAATAATTTTGTAAGTCAATAACGTACTGGATGGCTATGCATTCCTAAATCTATCTAGTATGTTTACTTTCATCCCTTATTTCTTGATGAATAATTGACACATTCCTTATCAATTATAACATCTAAACAGTAAAAACTGTCCATTGTATTCTACTGTGATGTCATGGATACTCACAGCGAACACAGACACAGCTTTAATATAACGAATATTTATTTACAGAGAAAACATATATTTACTATGAATTTCCTTCTTACAGCCTAGCTCTGATAGACCTATTATCCCCTGATCGCGGGAGCGATCCAAACCCGATTGATGATCGGTTTC